GGGTTTTTCTCTGTATCTATGAAGCGCCTTGAGGCGACTTTTGTTGTGATTTGGCGCTATATAAATAAAATTGAATTGAATTGAATTGAATTTAACAGCGAAATTGTGAAAATGTGGCTACTTTAAATTTTAGAATTAGCATGTAAATAGTCAAAATGACAGAAATGAGGCTAAGTGTGTTGAAAAGCATAGGCAGGACTGAACAAAAACATTGTTCAGATTCAGATCATTCAGATTTCTTCATGTCATTTATATTAGTACAATAAATTTCACAACGAATTAGGAGTTTTTATCAGCAAAAGGTTAGAAGACCTTTTCTGATTCCCGTTTTCTGCTGCTGTTTTTGTCCTTAAAGTCCATTTTCCACCATTATTTATGCACTTTAAACTAACAGTTTTAGTTTTATTTAAATAAATTACAGTATTTCTTCCAAGACATAAGATTTCTGTCATCGTCCCGGGTTCTAGCGTTGCATTTGTTGAGTTTTCGGTTCCTTTTTTGATTTTGTGATTAATTCGGGTGTTTCTAATATTCTTTTTTTCTGATTTCCCTTAAGTTTCCCTGGCTTGTGTCCATATGTCTTGAGCATTAGTGCCATTGTCCTTCTGTGTTTACCTGTCTTTGTGTTTTTTCATCTATTCATCCATGAAGCATGGAGCCCATCCCAGCTGTTACAGTGCCCTGAACAGGCTGTCAGTCGATCACAGGATTTTTTGCTCAAAAAGCGCAAACAAAAACAATGGCATTAAGACTTAAAGTGTCACTGCATGAGGGGCTTCTTGTTTCATCTTATCTCTTAATCTGGTTCCTGCTTTACTTTGATAAATCACATGCGTCCTGATTTTATTTTTTGCTTTTGTTCCCTTCCTTGGTGTTTGTCAGCCCCTCCATCATAGCAGATTGTGCCTACATGTGTCCTGTCTGTTGTGCTCACTTGCTCATGCCCTCTGAATTTGCCTGATGATTTGGATCCCAAAAGGTCTTGCCTTGTGTCCAGTATTTGGTCCTCAGTACTGAGCAAGGAGACCTACAGCACATCAGTATATTAATATTTATATTGAACTTATAAAAGGTTGTGTCAGTGCACATGAGAACAATGGATTTACAGCCACAATTTCCATATCACTGCGGGTCACTGTGGCTACTGAATTAGCATCTAGACACCATCTGAAAAGAGTCAGCTGTGGCAGAAGTTCGGAGTCAGATTTAGCATCTGGCATACACATATAGAGCTCCCGATTGCTGACATTCAGGACCCTGGACACTGGATGCAGAGGTAACTAAAGGCTTGAGAGCAGAGCCATGACCAAGAAGAACTCCATGCTAGTTAAATATTAAGCACTGCTGACTGACTGCTCACAGGCACAGTAACAAGATAGTGCTTGTCAGAGGAAGATGAACTCACAGCAAGACAGAAAACACAACCAGCGTCTCAAGTTTCCCAGATAAACACTGACACCATGTAACAAACAGGGATCAAAGATGTTACTCGCTGTCGAGCTCTAACATGGATTCATTGGTTCGATGGAGACATAAGCTTGTTATTGCTTGCTCTGCACTCTTTCACATGTGCTATTTGGTAGATTATACAGCCAAGAATCAAAGGAAAAACAATAAGATGTAGTAAGAGACAGGTCCACTACATGCATAGCACTTTTTGTTTTTACTCTCAATCATTGACTGCTATGCTCCATGTACGCCACACCTGTTTCTGCTTGTGAACATTTTTATTTTGTACACCAAGTCATTCTGACTCATTTAAGGTGTCTTTCTTTTGTGCTGCTTGACATACTTCATCATCATTCTTGAACACTTGGCGTTTACAGCCCAGCGTGGTTGATGCACATGTTTAATATGTGAAGAACTGAAGGCATCTGCATGAAGTGCACAAGATTGTCCAAGTGTTTCTACACCCAGGCCAAGTTTACTAATTTAGGTTAGGTACTGGATTGTAAATATTGTGTACTGTAATTACAGATTTTTCATTTTTCTTTCAGTAATCTATGTCCCTTTATTTGTAATCTTTTTATACATGTACAGTGGTCTCTCGCTATAACGCGGTTTACCTTTCGCGGATTGTTTTGGTGCGATTTTGCATGCTTTGAGTTCTGCGTCCTGATTGGCTGTAGATCATTGTCAGTCAATCTCGTGCTGTGTCTCCTGCACAGTACAGAATGCGTTCAGCTTGTCAAGTTAACATAAATCTTCTATCGCTAGCTGTGTGACTCTGAAGTGCTGTACTGTATGTTTGGAAGTTTTCTCCCCAACACACACAACAATTTTTAACGAAACGTTTTGCACTGTCAAAGGCAACCGCGGGCGCTTTTGGTTTCATTCTATAATACTGGACTTATTTTTCTACGAATGTTTGATCTTTGAGAGAGTTTAAATAAGAGAGAAAAGTGTAAAAATGTTCATGCCTGTCTGAGAAAAGTGTATAAAGTGTGTAGTGAGGGGTTTTGCAGCCTTAAAACATCTA